ATGCTTACGGTGTAATAAACAACAAATTACCTTGAACTCATTGTGACAAGTAAGACAGGGTTTCATGCCAGACTAATACCATTAACAAAAGCACATAGTTCCTGGGCAGTGTATACTAGTTAACTTTAAAGAGCTTGCCAATACCATTTCTATTTTTTTAAACCTTCAAATTACAAGCCAATGGCATGTCTATTCATCCATTTCATTGCTTACCATTGAAATCTTTGGTAACTCACAAATGCAGATAAACCATGCTTCAGCCAGCTTTAACTGCAGTGCTTATTAAACCACTCTTAAAGAAACAAAGAAAAATATTAAATTATTATTGAATTACTGAAGTTTGTACCGGTGTTAAGCCCTGTAGTATTCAGCTGGGAGCTCCTGCAATCAAGGCCATTTCTGTTCCACATTAAAATGTATTTCAGTTTAGTTCTCTGTTTTTACTGTAGCCTACGTTATAACTTGTCAGACCTTTCCTGTAACTGCAACTTAGGAACATTTAATATTTATGAAATGCATGGCAAGTGATATAAATAACTATGATAATTAAATAACTTAAAACTGAAGGTCCAATTCTCACCTTATATAAACTGTTACAGATTAACTAAAGTCAAAGAAGCTGTGACAGTTTATACCAGCTGGAGATGTGGCTTAGTAGAGTCAGATTAAATGGTGGGCTACATCATTTAAGATTTGCATTTTTTTTTCTCAGGTCCTTTGGAGTTATCATACATGTGTAACCTTTAGTCTGTACCAAAGTTATGCAAGCCAAACTTATTCATATTTGATCTTTATATAAAAATGATCTCCAGGAATATTAAGATTCTTAGATTTAATGCATTGAAAAAGATGAAATGCCAGCTCTCCAAATTCTACTTTCAGATTTATTCTTGCCTTGAAACTTCAGTCTGATTGGATGTTGATGCTGTTTTTTGCACATACACACTTGACTGTAACAGTTACCATTGGGCTGCTTCTGATTCCAAAGGTATGCCGTTGTTGTTATTTTTTCTTACTAATCAACAGAAATATATAATTGTGCACACATGTTCTTTCTTAAATTACCAGGTTATTGGAAGAGGAGGATTACGTTTTTGGTCCAGTAACAAAGATTTGTTTTCAGTCCTCTTTTGTTAAAATATTTGGGGAAACTAATACATTTCTATTGAAGCAATCAGGGTTAAACATCCTTTATTGTTGATATGACTGATAAATTGTATCACCATATTTAATTTTACTTTGTCAATTATGGACCTATATACCATATTTTTATAGATTTATGATCCGATTTATCATTATATTCATACTTTAACCATTTATACTATATTTATACTTGATTATGTTAATTCTAGGAGTAGGAATAGTGTTTTTATAATGTTTGGCTTAATTTTATTATTATATTTGTATTTCTGTTATTTTTGCTTAAATTTATTTATATTATGGCTGTATGTTTGTCATGTTGTTTTCAGGAGCAAAGCTTTTAACCAAAATCCGTAATAAATTTAATTGAATTGAATTTCTGGAATTCTACCATTAAATTATTTCTGGCCTTTGATAATCAATATTTTTCTGTTAAGTGTAAAAATCATAAGCCAGTGTTCATATTAGTAAATCAGAAGACTCTTGCTGCCTTTCAGGATTTAGGATAATAAGCTGCTTTAAAAGTATTGCTATGAGATGTGTCTGAATTAAGAAGAGGCTTAGAAAATATCCAATGAATTATTCTTTGGGGTTTAACTTTATTATTGTCTTTTGGTCTTAGTTTGTTCATTTATTTCGCTTCTAGAAATGTTTAATCTTAGAGTGGACTTGCTTGGTGAATAACAGTAAGACAATTCACAAAACAGTATTTAGTTTACGTAGACTTAACATGGTGAATATAATATGGGAGCCCTATATAAAATCTGTTCATTTTGGTCTATGTTGGGAGGGTGAAAATTGTGATATCCAGCCTGTGTTAGGTATGGCAGTCTCTACAGCTTATAGTAAGATGGTGTTTGGGAAGAAGGTGTAGTATCTACAGTCAGAATGTGTGAAGCTGAAATAAAAGATATTGCGGTTCCTTGATGTCATATGGAAATCAGGTTGGTATTGTCTCAATCCAAAAGAAATTATTTGTTTAGCTGACTCTGGTTAGTGTAACTATGTTGGTGGGGGGGAGAAAGTGCCTTAGATTTGTAGAATGGAGAATGGGAGATCATTGGAAAGTAGGGTTGGAAGGACCTCACAAGGTCATCTAGCCCAGCTCCCAGCTGAAGGCAGGATCATCCCTGACTAAAGGATCCCAGCAAAGTGTCTATCCAACCTGTTCTTTAAAACTTCCCAAAATGGAGATTCTACAGTTTCTCTAAGTAACCTGTTCTAATGCTTGACCACCCCTGTAGTCAGAAAATTCTCCCTAATCTCCAACATAAATTTCCCTTTTTGAAGCTTGAAGTGCTGTCCTCAATGGTTATGAAAAAACCCATTTCCATCCTCTCTATAATTGCCCTGCAGGTATTTGAAGCTTATTTTCTAATCCCCCTTCAGTCTTCTCCAGATAGTGAGAAGTGAGATAGTGGTGAGGAATGGAGTTGCTTAAACTAATCTCTTAGAAACACCTACAGTTTAATGTTGTTCAGCATTATCAGACCCTATATTTAGTTTCTTATAAATTTCCCATGTGTGAACTTGAAAAATCTGAGTTCATGCCCAGTCAGTGGAAGGCAAGTTAGAGTTTGGCAGCAAAATGTATCAAAGATTCTCTCTGGGCAGAACATGCTCTATCACAGGGCTGCGGGAATGTGGAAGGCTTTTTCTGGCCAGTGTCTCAGGACTGCTGTGATATCAGACAGAGGAAATAAGATCAGGAAGACTTCCTTGCATTCTCATTACTAGTGTTCAGGTCTTCTTGACTTGAACAGAGAAAGGACAAAATCAAGACCCAGGATTGAGGAGAGAAAAAGTTAGGACAAGAAATGGGAGATGTGGAAGATGGAAGAAGATTGAGACCAAGTGAGGAGTTAATGGGGACCTAAGGATAGCTGGGACTGACTGGTTAAGAAGATTGGTATGAGGAGTGTAGGAAGGCTTGAACAGGCAAATGTGGTGATGGGATGACTGCCTAGGAAATGAGACTAGGTTTGATATCAAACACTCAAAAAACAGCAACTAGGACAGGCTAGATAAGGTGATTTGGACTGAGACAAGGAGTCAGTGGGGGTCAACAGTATTAAAAAATGGGTGCAGGAGGAAAGAGACAGGACTTGGAAAAAGACAAGATGGCAGCAACAGAGCAGAAGCATGCTCCCCTTCAGATCCTGGAAATGTACCCAAGATTTCTCAGTCCTGCCATTCTTGTGAAACCCACTGGTAAAACATGTGTTTTATTTCCCTTTAGTCCAGGGTGCTCAACCTCCAGCCTGCGAAGCCTTGACATCCAGTTCACAGTGGTCCCCACAGGTGGGGAAATTTGGCAGTGGGGAAGCAGTAGGAGCTACCCCCTGCCCACCCCTCCCTACTGCCAAATTCCCAAGCCCTACAGAGTGGGTTACAGCCAGGAGACAACCCTCCACTAGCACGGCCAGATCAGGGCCAGGCCATGCACCCATTGCTCTGTGCAGCTAGTTCGGGACCAGATCAAGTCCCTTTCTCCATTCATCATCATGGGTCTGGACCATACCCGCTTCCCTCCACCCACCCAAGTTGGGGCCAGACCACACCTCCTTCCCTTCCCCCTGGCCAAGTTGAGACTGCGCACCACATCTTTCCTCCTGCAGGGCTGGACCCCCCTCATGTGCAGCTGGTTTGGAGCTGGACCATGCCTCCTTCCCTCACCCACAGGGCTGAGCTATGCCCCCTTTCCTCCCACCCAGCCCGGCTGGGGCCAAGCCATGTCCACTTTCTCCTGCAGGGTCGGGTCATGCCTTCTACCCCCTTAGGGCTAGATCAGCCCATGGGGCCAAGTTGGGGCTAGACTATGCCCCCTTACCCCACACAGCTGGATTGGGGCTGGGTTTCCTTTTGGCCCTCCTCTGCGAAGGCAGATAGGGCGCCACTGCATCTGCCCTGGTTGCCAGTTTGGGTCCACTGGCCAGATCTGGCCTGTGTAAGGACCAGGCTCTGCCCATCCTGTCAGTTGCTATTACACTGTAATTGTTCTGTAAAAAGGGGTAGTGTGCAGTTCCATCCACCACACATTCCCATATTTTGTTAAATACAATTGAAATACATATTGGTGTAATACAGGGCCCTCTGCTGTATATTATTTTTTCTTATTGTTTAGGGTTCTGCCAATCCTGTCTTTCTCCCTGCCTTGTTCAGCAGTAGAGAAAACTGACTTAATATTGGAAAGGAATTTTTACAAGCACATGGACTTTAAAACAAATTTATTTATACAGCATTTTGTTCCATTAGCACTGGATTTTCAAAGGATCGAATAAATACCATTTCAGTGTGATGTGTTCTTGTGACAATGAGATTCTGGATGATATGATTACAATATAGCATTCTTTGTGCAGAAAATCCCATCAAAACATTGACTTCATAATGGTGGTGTTGTAAAGACCCATAAAATTTTCCTTATATAATAGTCCAAAGGACAAGGACCAAAGAGGATATTAAGGGTAAAAATAAAACAAAAACCTTCACACTTAGGTTTGACATAATTCTCAGCTCACCCTGCTGCTATTTATAACTATTGCTGATGTCTCAAAGCAGTGCATGCTTTTATCTATCAAATATGCCTAAAATAACGAGTCATACCAATGCAAGATTGTGATGCAAACTTTGAATATCCTGCAGTCATTTTTACTGATTTGATGTTTTTAGTAATAGTTTATATTTTCTGTTTCATATCCACTTGCTTTTTCAAGCATGTTAAAAACATCATTTTCCACCAAGTTTTTTTAAAATTAATCTTTCTCAAGCTGTATCTCAGAGACACAGATTAAAATTCCCTTTCCTATATATTTTCTGAGTGCCTCTTCACAGAGGTTTCACCTTACAGCTTGACAAATTCTAGAAAACAAGAGACTAAATGTGACCATAAGTATACAGATCAAATCCCATATGCTATGATGTAAAGACATGGAGTCAATGAGGCTGTACCAGTTTATAACAGCTACTCTCTGGCTCATATTAATAGGGGCAAGTGAACCAGTATGAATAAAAAAAGGAACAGTTTCAAACCTTTTTTCCCCCCTTTGGAGTGAACCTTTGTTAAGATTAAGGTAGGATTGGCTAACTATTTTTCTCCTTATTTTTCATATTGAGCACACCTTGGGTACATAAGCATATGCATCTGAGATTTGTGCCAAATGAGGCATCAGCTCATTGCACATCTGCAAGTGCGGCTGTAGAGCCCAATTCTTGAATGACAGTCCCTTCCACACTTATCATATGTGAAGTTCATATCTAATGATCCTGAATGTGGTACAGGGTTAAGCATTATGTTTAGGTTCTCCTAACCAAAGTGAGGACGATCTAACTGCCACAGTGTCCAAGTGCCTCATAGGTTTAGGTCTCCCTAAAAATAGCTTGCCTGAGCTAAAGTCAGTTCACCTCAGCACTATTTGTAGGGCAACTTAAGCCCTGTGAGCACTTGCACACCATGGCTTTTAGAGGTGAACTAACCGTAGAGCAGCAAATGGTTTACCCAGTCTAGGAAGGGTTAATTTGGCCTAGTGAATGCCTGTATGTGTTCATAACACAGCCCTGGGGTTGGGAAAGCCCAGCCACTCACCACAGGTCTGGGCCTGAGCTGTTTTAACTCCCCCAATCCTGACCAGGCTAGCCCCAAACCAAGCAGCTCCCCACAAGTTACTTGTCTTGGGCTGCCAGAACCTCCTCCCAGCAAATGGCGAACACTTGCACACATGAGATCCCAACTCATGTTTAGATGGCTTACACTAGACTAGAGCCAGGTCACGCAAATGCTTAGAATCATTGAAAATTGGGGTTGGAAGGGACCTCAGGAGATCATCAAGTCCAACCCCCTGCTCAAAGCAGGACCATACCCAAATAGATCATCCCAGCCAAGGCTTTGTCTAGTTGGGTATTAAAAACTTCCAAGGATGGAGATTCCACCACATCTCTGAGTAACCTGTTCCAGTGTTTTACTACCCTCCTAGTGAGAAAAGTTTTTCCTAATATCTAACCTAAAATTCCTTGCTCCAACTTGAGACCATTGCTCCTTGTTCTGTCATCTGCCACCAATGAGAACAGTCTAGCTTGATCCTCTTTCAAACTCCCGTTCAGGTAGTACAAGGCTGCTTTTAAATCCCCTCTCAGTCTCCTCTTCTCTAGACTAAATAAGCCCAGTTCCCTCAGTCTTTCCTCATAAGTCATGTTTGCACCCTTGTCTCTTCCTTTTTTTAGTCAAGACATAAAATGGGAGAGCTACAATACACGAGATTATTAAACTCTGTGCAAAGGTTATTTTTGTGGTATTCGCAGCCTCCCTGAAAGAACTAGAAATCCTGCACCTAGTTTAATCCTAGAGATTTGGATAAGCATAGAAAGCTAGGAATGATTTTTTAAAATGAACCTCTAAACCTTTTCAGGCTAACCAACCACTAAAAATAGTACCCAGTCTATAAAAATAATACTCTATAATATATTCCCTGTTCTAATAACATTTATGTGGTGATTGCGACCATTTGAGGCCAGATGGGTAAAATGGAGTGTGAAGAATAGTTGTATACTTTAGAACATTAACATTAAACTTAACAATATGTTAACTGCAGCATCCTCTTACAAATATGTATTGCAGTTTTCCCACTCAAGCAATAATCCTCGAGATGATATAGCTACTGAGGCATATGAAGATGAACTTGACATGGGTCGATCTGGGTCCTACCTAAACAGCAGTATCAATTCAGCATGGAGTGAACATAGTTTGGATCCTGAAGACATCAGGGTAACTACTATGCTTTTAAGAGTAATTTGTTCTTAAGAAGTGTTTTTCTAAACTCTGAGCTACACCAGTTTGATTTCTTTTTACTGCAAACACGCAGCAAAATGAGCCATTTTGTGTCTAGCAAGGACTGTAGTATCAAGTTGTGTGACATACATTTAGGGAAATACACAAATGTGGACAGGGCTTTGTTGTATGCTATTAAGAGAATCACTCAAGATTGAATGGTTTGAAATATCCCTGGCATGACCCATTTTGGGAACAGAGGCTCTTCTAGCCAGTTTTGAAGTATGACCACTGACACAGTGATATGTCATTTGTTGTCATCATTTAATATATAAATTTATGAAACCTAATAATCTCCTCAAATGAGATCCCTGCTTTATTGGATAAAAGGACTACTTCTGATTGAATTGGTTTGAGTGTATGCTATCCAAAATACAGCCTAATCATCCACTGCATGCCAGGTGAATAGTGAAAGTACATCATGACTGCATATTAATCCTGGCATGTTATATGCCATGAGACCATATTAAATGATAACTATTCTGTGCAGTGGGTGTAGGTCTGAATTTACCTTTATAATACAAATATTGTAATTAAGTACATGGAAAAATGGCAAACACTAGAAAAGTCGTAGTAAATAATTCAATATAATGTTCAGTTCATTCTAATCTAAATGCAGGTCACCTAGCCTGGTTACTGGACTTGATTTGTGTTGCACGTATTAGTTTTGCTTTTGTTTTGCAGGATGAGTTGAAGAAACTGTATGCACAACTTGAAATCTACAAAAGGAAAAAGATGATTGCTAATAACCCACATCTCCAGAAAAAGCGGTGCTCAAAAAAGGGCTTGGGCCGCTCAATAATGAGACGAATTACTGAAATCCCTGAGACAGTCACCAGGCAGTGCTCTAGGGAGGATAAAGACCTTATGGAGCACAGTTCTGCAAAAAATGCTGCTTTACAGAGAAAAAACCCCCAGGATTCCACCAGTTATGTAAAGCCAAAAGAGGAGTCTTTGAAAAACAGAGTCTTTTCATTAAAAAAGTCCCACAGCACTTATGATCATGTTAGAGATCAAACAGAACAGCCTAATAGCTTAACTACAGAAAGTGCAGAAGTTATAAGTACAGAGAACTCACTGCTGGATTCTTTGAGTGGAAACAAATTAACAAAAAAAGCAACGGAAAAAGTTGAAGCTGTGTCCACTGAATCTGTCCCTTTGGTGTGCAAATCTGTAAGTGCACATAACTTAAGTGCAGATAAGAAGCCTCTGCATCCAAGAACGTCTGTGTTACAAAAATCTCTTAGTGTTATTGCTAGTGCCAAGGAAAAGACTCTGGGATTAACTGGTAAAATGCAAAACCTGGAAGAAAACAGCAAATCCCATAAATCTCAACAGAAAGGTAAGGAGGCCAGCAAAAAGCATTCAGTCTCAGATAAAGGGGAGCAAAAAGATTCCCATCGGAAGAATTCTACCCACTCTGAGGAGGCAAAAAAACCCCATAAATCTGGAATCATGAAACAGCAAAAGGTTAGTCAGATGTCTGCAAATTCTGACACAGGCCTGGCTAAGTCACTGCATAAGGACAATTTTGACATTGCAGAGGTTTGTCCTTGGGAGCTCTATGACCAAATGCCTGGTCCTGTGCCTTCTGAATCTAAAGTTCAAAAACATGTGTCTATTGCTTCCTCTGAACCAGAGAAAAGTCACCCTTCCCAGCCAAAGGGGAAATCTCATCACAAGCTTAAGACAGCTGAAGGATATCAGCAGTCAAATCAGAAGAGCACAGAGAAATCTGAAGCACGTGCTCGGGAGACACAAGAGCAGCAGTTTTTGGAAGATGAGAAAAAACATTTGAATTCCAAGTCTCAGGTTGTCCCTGGGTTTAAATGTGAGAGTGTTAATAAATACACAGCAAATACTTGTGCAGGGGAATCTGAGGAACTTCCCCCTAAAGCAGCCATGCAAGCAGTAGAAAAGGAAAAGCTCAATCAATTGGGAGAACAGAAAAAAAATGCATCTTCCTCTGAGGGAAATATGTTTTCATCTGACTCTTATAAACCAAGCAGTAACTTACAGCAGCCTTTAACATCTCGAGCCGAAGTCTGTCCATGGGAGTATGACACACCAGATTTACCAAATGCAGAAAGAAGTGTAGCTTTATCGAACACATCTGCTTTAAGTGCAAATAAAACAGCAACACCTCAAAAATAAGAGGTTTTGGACTGACAAGAGTAGCAACTCCAGAAAGAAAGATTACAGAAAGGAGGAAAGAGAGAGGGCAAGTAGGCCAAAAGGATCTGAAAATTCCTAAGGAGATTACTGAACCAAGGGGATCAGCACAACAAATAAGTGGGAAATTGGCAAAGTGAATTATTCATACTGTTGTTGTTTATTTACTGAGTGCCAACAATATGATGAGTGGTGTCCAGAGCATGGTCCCTGCTCTAAGAAGTTTACAGTCTAAATGAATGAAATCTGCCTTTACCAAATCATTTCTCTTTCACAAACAGGAAAAAAAAATGGCTATGACAAGCAAACACCACAGATGTTAACAGAATTATCCCTAAAGGCTCCCAACTGCTTGCAGCTTGCCCTTGGGACTCTAAAGATCCAACAGGAGTATGGCACGGAGAAAGTCTTGATGGCAAAATTTGGGATCAATGAGCAGCTTACCGAAAAGACAACTTTTCACTTTACTTATTTAACCTTGATAGCACTGCTAACTTAACGCATCCCAAAAATACATTTTATATAATGATTGCTCTCATTTTCTTATTAATGTATGTTTAAGTACATTGTTGTGTCTCATATTAAAGCATTCCAGATTGTATAATTTTTGCAAATAACTTTGATATTATGTGACACAACAACATATTTATGCAATCTGCAGATACTCTATTGTTATTGCAACTTAAAATACCTGCCGTAGATTTTATTTATAGAATTACAGTAAGTTTTCACTGGCTATGAAAGCCATACCTTGTATGGGAAAATACCTTGGTTTTCTTTTCCTGTGATTTTATAGTGTGAGTTTTTGTTTTATTCTCTATTATTTAAAATTATCATTTGATACTGTATTATTCAGGGGTTTTATACCAGGTAAGTTGCTCATCTTGCCCTTTTTTGTTAATGCTCATAAACTTTGTTATTAGTGGGGATCAGATCGTCTTAGCTGCATATTCTGGTAAGTCCAAGGACAACTTATCTGTTGTTTGTTACAAACCTGGCTAATTTCATATTATCACTGCAGAGCTCCTGCTTTTATCATCTATCATCATCATCATCTTTCTCAGCAATTTACAGTGACAATTTTCTTCTAAAGGATAAAAACAAGAATGATAAAGACTACACTTAAGAGTTTGAACCACAAATGTACAATTCCGGGAGATATTGCAGGTTAGCTGGTTTAGAGCTGCAGTATGTTGTTTATCCTGCTGGTAAACTTCCATGAACCAGATGTGCAGAATCAGAAAGAGAAAAAAGGAGCCCCAAAAGAATATTTCCCCCCCACAAAATGCAATCAAAAGATAGAAAAAGAAAAGGGCATCTAATCCCACCCCAAAAGTACTTAGAAATGTTTGTCTGATGTATATATGTAAATGTTACATAAAATTTAATATTTTATACAAAATTAATACCCAGTAATAACTAAGGTTTTTATCCTGCACATAAGCTTAATTTTATACACTAGTCTGTTCCCTGTTCAAGACAAAGAGACTTTCAGTTAATTCCAAGTAAAACACGTGAAAAAGAGGATCAGGACAGAAGAGGGTGACAAAGACTAATAATAATAACAGTAGGCCAGGTCCATTTAAGTGTAGTACTACTAAGGTACCTTTGGTACTTCATTTATTGCTGACTCTTATTGGTGCTGTACAGTATGCAAAAATAAAGGAACACCCAGTCATAAAGTTTTTTTTTAAAAGAGATGATGAAATTCACTGGGAAAACCCACCATAAGATTAATTTAATGGTTTGTTGTTTTATATACATCTATATATATATTTAGAGATATATCTATATATCTATGTATACATTGATATATATCTATATCTATGTAGCTATAGATGTGTATAAAACAACAAATATATAGCTATCTATATATTTATATATATAGATAGATATAAAATATCCTATTTAATATATCCTATTTAATGCACACATGCACATACATATATATTGATAAACTGACTTGTGGGCCTCATAGAAGATGGGGGGTTTTAAGAGAAACTCTAATGACAAGAAGGGCTTGGGTAAATTGGGATGTGGAGAGTACTTCCTTGCCTTTCCCGAACTGAGAGACAGGCAGAGAGTCCACTTGGGTCAAGCTATGGAAGGGGAGAGGAAAATACATGACCCTGCCTCCAGGACTGTGCCTGTTTTTGAAGGAAAAAAATAATCTGAGTATGCACATAGTTCTTCTTCCCTGACCACAGACTTTATCCAGGGCCTGACGCAAACCTCACTGAAGTCAGCAAGGCTTTTCCCATTGACTTCAATGGGATTTCTATGAAGTCTCATGTGCAAGGCCTGATTCCCTTGCGGGTATGTAGGCTTCATTCTGAGAATGGATAGAACTCTGTATGTCACCAAGCATGTGGAGCCCTGCAGGAACATACTGAGCCCCCATGGAGTAGCGCACAGTCTTTTCAATTTAATCTACTGATATAGCTGTACTCTGCAGCATAGTAAAGAGAGGACTCCATCTAAGGTTCCTTCTCTAGTTTACTAAGGGAACATCACGGGCTGGCCAGTCTTAGACATGTTCCTTCTCCAGAGGGCTCTGTGTCTCCGTTGCCATGGACAATACTCATGCTTGCAGCCGGGATGTGTCAGGAACTGGTGGAGGACATACTCTGTACACACCCACTGTGCCTTTTAGATCAAATGCCCAGGGGAGGCGTGGTGCCCTGCCATGACTTTACCCATCCCAACATCATGCTGTCCTTTGTGCATTCCTGTACAATGGAGTGAGTGGATTGCCTCTGTTACATGGTAGCCGTGTGCATGTAGGCCTCCATACCAAGCCATACCCCATGCATATAGCAGTGCTTTCTTTTGTGTTAGGGGCAGGATGAAGTCCCTTGGGCATGACTGTATTTGTGCCACTACTGCCCCATCTGCTGATTGCTTTTCTTCTATTTTGCTTTGAAGATAACTTGAGAAGGAAGCTCATTAGAAACAAAGAAATAAGGCCAGATCCTTAACTAGTGTAAATCAACATAACTGTACCATAATTATGGAGTGATTTATACCAACCCAGGGTCTGCTGCATAATTTATAGTTTTGGTTTGTTTTCTTTCACCCTGAAGGCTGCTCTCGCTACTTAAAAATTGTCCACTATTTTCAGGGTTGTTCTATGGTTTTCCGCATTGTTCTTGTCACATACCAAAAGGCTGGTGAAATTTAGACCTATTTTAAAACCAGTGTACATCTTAAGGGATTATTTTCCTTGTTCATTCAGCCACTGAAATTGGGTTTTGGGTTTAATTGGTACTTTAGCAAACAGAGGGCCAAACTTCACTCAACTGTTATATTTCACTATGACACTGCTAGAAACATTGCTTAAGGAAGACATACTAAGTTATGCCTAAATGATGTTCTATGTTGTATAGATTTTTCTCCACCAGCATATATTAGCTAGATTGCTTAGTAGTCTTTTTCTGGAGTTCCATTGTCATTATTCAGCCACAAGAAATGCAACTCTAGAATTAAGGTGTTTTCTAGCAGATCTGTTAAGAACGATAATCACCAAGGTCACAAACATTTGCTAGGTTGTCTTTTTCAAATGCATGTGCAAGTTGCATTTCTCCTTTGTTTCTAAGCCATGGTTTATAAATAATTAGATTTCTACCAATACTAATAGACTTGTATATTTTATGCAAGAAATATATGCTTTAAAATATAAATAATTAATCACCCATCATCAGCTTTGGTGGCATTATAGGTCTGAAAACAAACAATACTTTTATATTTGCTCTCCTGAGGCTTTTGCATGTATATGATGACGGGCAGGCCTGAGAAAACACTGCCTTTTAACATTTTAGCTACTCAGAGTTGTAGAGTAAATAAAGCTGTAAGTCTATTCACTTTATTATGTGGTTCTTATAAGAATATTATCTGGCAACCTACAGCATCCACCATGAAATACTTGCTAGATTTATGTTGTAATGTGTCTCAGCATGTAAATAATGTACCTTCTCTGCAATAAAGCACATTTATATGAAATCTGTTTGTGGTCCTTTTATGATGTAATATTGTGAAGCAGCTAGTGATTCAAGCTAAATTGTTTTCTTATCCAGTTTGTAAAATGACATGATAAATGAGTCTTCTGACTGACTAAGGGTTCACAAATATTCTCAGATTTTGTATAGCATATTAATTTGTCTTGAGCATTTATTCATATCTGTATTCTACTGTTGGTACACACACACCCCATGGATTTAAATAACAGCATTTTAGCCAGCAGTATCTTTGGCTTTGCCCTGATGACCATGGTGCAAAGGCTGATATGGGACCAAAGGCCACCACTTTCTTCCTACTACCTGTGGCCTTGATAGTTTCTATACTTTGTTCTCCCTAAATTTAGATATTGATTATCTTCACTGCTGGCACGGTGGACCTGGAAATGTTATCATTAAGTACATCCCACCTCCTTCCTCATTCTAATATTATAAAAACCTTAATCTATCTGTCTGTCTGCCTATCTGTCCATAACGCTTTATTCACACTCTGATTGGCTGACTGAAACAGCCAATCAGAGTGTGACTAAGCATTCAGACAGGAGGTGGAGCGTTGCCATGATGGCAGGGACGCAGAGGACAGAGCTGGCCTTGCCCACTCTGCCCTACTCCCTGGAGGCAGCAGCAACAGAGCAGACAGAACAAGGAGTGCAGCACTGCCCCTCCTGCCCTGCTCCCTGCAGGTGGCAGTGATGGGGGGGTGAGGCCACCAGAGCTGGCTTCATGCCCCCACCCCTTGCTCCTTCAAGGTGGTGGTGGTGGCAGCGTGGGGGGGAGTGGGGTCGGGACGCTGCGGGGAGTGAGGCCACTGGTGCTGGCCTCAGCCTGCCCCTCCGCCCTTCGTCATCGCCTTCTGCAGGGCCACCCAATGCAGGCCAACGCA